GTCTTCTATAATTCTGCTTGAGGAATTTTAGTGTGCAGCTTTCATAGCTGCTTTAACATACTATCTTTTGCATAGTTCGCTGAATTCAGTCTTTCATTACTTCGTTTTCCCCCTCCTTCTCCTCCCCGAGCCTCCCCCCCTCGCTTCGCCGTCCATCAGTGTATTTCCACAGCTGCTTGCACAAGGAAACTCATTCTATTCGAAATTTCGTCCCATTGAAATTGAATAGCATGTTTTTGAACCGAGATTTTCATAATATAACTAGACATCAGCTTGAAATATTCTGATTGCTATAATATGATATCCCAGGGCTTTCTTTGGCATCTCATAATCATCGTTTTTGACTGACCGAGACACGTATTTTTCTGACTTTTGCTTTTTAAAATCCCTCGATGCGAAGGAAAAAATTTTCTCATGTGCTTTTTGCAACTGTTTTGAAATAGAAGAATAGAAGGATTTCACTTGAATGTGATGTGTATGAAGACATTTTATGACGCAGTCTTTGTTTCATCCCTTAGCCGTATACACAGACCGAAGGATTGGGAATCGTCAGTACACCCTCCTACCCGCCATGTTTTGAATAGTCATGTATCTGATTCGCAAGACGAATGACAGGAAGAAATAGATATGACTGAAAGAGCAAATAAAGTGAGAAAGAAAGGGATGAAGGGAAGTTAAAACGTGTTATGGCAGTCTCCATAACTATTGGGCGAGAATATATGTATATCTGTCAGGCCTCCAAGATTTGGCAAGAAACTTTTTGTTCAGTATGCCTGTGAAGACCTAAAAAACAGCATTTGAAGCGGGCACACCTATTTGACTCGCATTTGCTTGAGCTTGTGGCTTCGATGCCCTGTGAAATTTTTAACGGCTTATATTGGAATTTTTGAGCTGTTATAGAGCCCCGAAATTCCAGCTGTCGAGCCGACCAGGTGAACTTGACTGCGTAACATAACGCAAACGCGTATAAGTAGGATTTTGGTAGTGCTTTTTATTGCATTTTGTTTAAATGCGAAACGCATAAAAAAGTAGGACTGGAGAGGTGCGCGGCGCGCAAGGCGAGAAGGGAGAGGAGGCAAGGCAAAGAGGGATGCCTTGTTGTCATTTCATTTTTGCTGGCTGTTTCAGTTAGCCCAGAAACGTCTGAATATGTCACCGGAAACGAGCAAATGCTGTGCGTTGTTCGAAGTGACAGAATGTGGATTCGGTATGGCATTTGTGTTGCAGCTAGCCCACTGATAAACTGTCGGCATTGCTTTTGTTCGCCTGATTATTAGCCAGTAAATAAGCAATTAAAAATTGAAATGGGGAAAATTTTGAAGCATCAGTTTTTGGGTACCTCTCACCTTAGTCTTCTTTACGTTAAACTCCTAGGTGTGTTGCTGATTTTACAGCAACTAAGCAGTCTTACAGTACTTTTAGCAGTTCTTCGTTGCAAATTTTTGAAGTTGTTTTTCGAAAATTGCCTTCATTGGATTCATGAATGGAATGGGACCCGAAAAAGTTGTGTTTTCACTGGTAAATGGATGATTTTTGTAGTAGAAGAGTAGCAGTGGAACTTGAGAAGCACTGAATTGGTGCACTCTACAGGAAGCTTGTTCATGCCATAGGTTATCCGTGTGTTGGGGATACATCGTCAAGCATTCTGGCGTGTTAGCACTGCGCTATTGCAGAGCGGAAGCTAGCAGACGATGAGTGCCCGCACGCGCTCTACATACAGAATTATTCATCAGCGGCCTCCTCGTGCATTTTACTGCGAAAGTGGATATTCTCTATCGACAGGGAAATCGAACTCTGCAAACGGTCCTTTCTTCACATTTTAGAAATATGGCCAGTAATAAATCTGGGTTTAATGCCAAGGCTGGTAAGGAGAGGAGTGCAAGTGAGAGGAGAGTTATCTAAACTGAAACACTAGAAGGAGCAGAAATTTATAATGCATACATTTGAATGCGTACGTGTGTGTGTGTGTGTGTGTGTACGTACGTACGTACGTACGTATGTATACTTTTATATGCATGTTTAAACGTACATGTTTGCAATAATGCCTGTGTGCGAGTCTGAAGGTGTTTCCATGCCTGTGTATATGTGTAAGTGTATGTATGCAAATGTGTGTGTATGTTTGCGTGTCTGTGTGTGTGTGTGCGTGCGTGTGTGTGTGACTGGGTGTGTAAGTGCGCGTAATATGTATGTACATGTTTACTTTATATGAAGACTACGCATATGGTAGTATTCAAGAAAGTTACCCGTTTTGTTTTTTCATTTCTCAGGCATATCCGTAGACGGTTGGCTTTTTCAGCGACAGGTTATTCAAGGAATATTGCTTCTGGCAAGCAGTTGCAGATGTGAACAGCGGTCTCATATCGGCCAAAGAGAAAATGTACCAGCTCAAGGCATTGCAGAGTATCGAAAGAGCTGATAAGGTGCGTGATGATTTTATCTCTCAGTGAGTGAAATCCATGAACTAAGCCCAGTGACTTTTCGAGTTTCCGACTTTAGATTTTTTTCTTTCTTTTTTTTGCATATCGGAGACTTATTTGCAAAGTTTTGTTGTAGTAAAATTAGTGTTTTGGAGCCACCAGATCTGTTGTGTTCTGTGGTCGATGGTGACTCTTGCTTTTCCATTTTTGTTCTCCACTGATTCAATTTTGCGCTCACGGACTTTGACAATTAGCTGCCGGATGAATGACCTTGAATTGATGATGTTAGCGAT